CCACGTCCGCGCGTTGGTGATATAAAGGCTAGTAACTGTCTTTGGCGGCGTCCGTGGCTAAGGCGTTGTGAGTCCCGACTCGTAAGCCAGCATACCGCGATCGAAACCCATTGTAGGCTGCGCGGATTTTTATCGTGGTATGGGACGTCTCAGGTCGACCCAGCCTAAAATGGGTACCAGAATGGGCTGTACTGGGAAAGTAAAGACAGCCGGCGTAATGCTGACCACATTACCCTCAGAGTGCTGATGATCTGTAAAAATATGGGACACACTGCCCATATGCCCGATGCGCCAAAAGGCGTGAAAAGGGATCTTTACTTTACCTGTCTTTGACATCCTTTTGAACGAAGTTTTTCGCCAGGGACACAGATGAGTATCATTTATTTTGTACATTAGAGTCCTATGTAGTCACTTCATAGTTAGAGCATAGTTGTGTATGTGTACTTTGTTGTTCTTTTTGTGCTGAAGAAGGCTAATCGCCGCAGCGTCCTGTGTTTGTTTATTGTGATCGATTTTGTAAAGCTAACATAAACTGTTTGTTATTTCTTACCAACTTTTTCTCTTCCCTATAATTTCCTACCCCTTTAAAAAAATCCTAGTTGTGACAGTGATTTCCTGTTTATTATTTTGGCTGTCTATCTGGTATTAACAATAAATGATGAAGAAATTGAAAATGTCACAAACTTTGAATATCTAAGCTCTATAATAAACAACAATGGAGACTGTTCGACAGAAATTAAAAGGAGGATGGCCATTGCAATGCAAAGATTGAACAGCCTTAAAAGTCTGTGGTTAAGCACCAGCAAGGAGATAAACATTAGAATTTTGAGAGCATGCATCTTCCCTGTGGCTACATACGGATGTGAGTCGTGGACTATCTCTCAGGCCTTAAGAAGGAGAATAGGGGCTGAAATGCTATAGAAAGATTCTCAGAATATCTTTAAAAAAGAAGATGAGAAATATTGACATCTTAAAAGATTTGAAAATCAAGGAAGATTGGCTAATAAACAGCATCCTTTCTCGAAAGCTGAAATATTTTGGTCATATCAAGCGCCACGACGGATTTGAAAAAAATTATAGCAGAAGGCATGGTACCAGGAAGGAGGGGCAGGGGCCGACCGACACGAAGATGGGCACAGGATATAAGTGACTCCTTGAGTGTGAAAGTTCATGAGGCGGGGGAACTGGCAAGAGACCGAGTTTCTTACAGGCAGACTGTGATGAGAGCGACGTTCTGCAAAGGACCTGCTACATGATGATGATGATCTGGTATTATTTGGATGTTGCTGAGTCGGCCAGATCCCCTTGTATCTGCATCCTAGTTGTGTTTTTAAAAGGAGTAGAAAATTATAGGGAAGAGAAAAAGTTGGTAAGAAACAACAAATAGTTTATGTTAGCTTTACAAAATCGATCACAATTGGCTGTGTATCTGGTGTTATTTGGATGTTGCTGAGTCGGCCAGATCCCCTTGTAACTGCATCCTAGTTGTGACAGTGCTTTCCTGTTGGTATTTTGGCTGTATATCTGGTGTTATTTGGATGTTGCTGAGTCAGCCAGATCCCCTTGTAACTGCATCCTAGTTGTGACAGTGCTTTCCTGTTGGTATTTTGGCTGTCTGTCTGGTGTTATTTTGATGTTGCTGAGTCGGCCAGATCCCCTTGTAACTGCATCCTAGTTGTGACAGTGCTTTCCTGTTGGTATTTTTGGCTGTGTGTCTGGTGTTATTTGGATGTTGCTGGGTCAGCCAGATCCCCTTGTAACTGCATCCTAGTTGTGACAGTGCTTTCCTGTTGGTATTTTGGCTGTCTGTCTGGTGTTATTTGGACGTTGTTGAGTATGTGATATAATGCCGCTAATGCTAGTAATACATTCCATCTATAAATAGGTGGCACTCACATCCATGCAACACGGCAGGGGTACAGTCGCAAGCCGCACACAGGGGGCTTCTTCCTGACATCATAAGTAACGATGCCTCTGCTTTGTGATAAAGATAGCTTTGGAATAACCCTGGCATGGAGTTGTCGCCTAGAGTGTTGAAATGAAACAATGAAATAAATATGTACTCTCATGATGTTTGCATTTCTTTTACTATTTTCTTTAAATCAATAGTGCAATGCCTCTAGGAGAAGTGTAAAACCTCTGGCAGAAGTGTCCCACTTGCAGGGGTGGAGAAAAATTGGGGGCTTGGGCACATTGAACATGCCCCCCCCCCCCCCGTTCAAAAGTATATTTATAATGCAACTAATTATAGGTTTGCTGAATGCCGATGTGTTAGGCTGAAAGGTGCAGATATCACAACCTAGCTGTAAATCACAAAACAATCTACTAACTATCATTTTAGGGGCATATGTACAAGAGGAAGAAGAAGAAAGAGGCAGGCAATATTTTAGGGACATATGTACAAGAGGAAGAAGAAGAAAGAGGCAGGCAACATTTTAGGGACATATGTACAAGAGGAAGAAGAAGAAAGAGGCAGGCAACATTTTAGGGACATATGTACAAGAGGAAGAAGAAGAATGAGGCAGGTAACATTTTAGGGACATATGTACAAGAGGAAGAAGAAGAAAGAGGCAGGCAATATTTTAGGGACATATGTACAAGAGGAAGAAGAAGAATGAGGCAGGTAACATTTTAGGGACATATGTACAAGAGAAAGAAGAAGAAAGAGGCAGGCAATATTTTAGGGACATATGTACAAGAGGAAGAAGAAGGAGGAGGCAGGTAGCATTTTAGGGACATATGTACAAGAGGAAGAAGAAGAAAGAAGCAGGCAACGTTTTAGGGAAAGATGTACAAGAGGAAGAAGAAAGAGGCTTGCTACATTTTAGGGGCATATGTACAAGAGGAAGAAAGAGACAGGCAACATTTTAGGGACAGATGTACAAGAGGAAGAAGAAGAAAGAAGCAGGCAACATTTTAGGGACAGATGTACAAGAGGAAGAAAGAGGCAGGCAACATTTTAGGGACATGTGTACAAGAGGAAGAAGAAGAAAGAGGCAGGCAACATTTTAGGGACACATGTACAAGAGGAAGAAGAAGAAAGAGGCAGGCAACATTTTAGGGACATATGTACAAGAGGAAGAAGAAAGAGGCTTGCTACATTTTAGGGGCATATGTACAAGAGGAAGAAGAAGAAAGAGGCAGGCAACATTTTATGGTTTTCCTCCTGTGGGTACTGGGGCCCCATTTTGGAAAGGGGGGGGGGGGGAGAGAAGACCCACTGCCCCCTAACAAGCATGTGGGAAAAACTGAAGTCGTTGGGTATCTGTCTAAAAGGCGAGGGACCAGCAGTCTCTATACAAACAAACCAGATTTGTAAAATGGATGTGCACACAAAACTCAAGTTCTGGAACAAGACTTATGTCCAGAAGTGGACTGACAATCAGAGCTTTCCATCAAAGTTTACAGCCGGTGAATGTAAAGAAGAAGATTTTATGGTCTCATTACCAGCAAAGACAAGCTGGATCATACTTCTCTTTTTCAGCATTCCGAGCCC